TCTGATCTCTCTCTGTCAAATAAACAAGATCTTTAAAAGAAAAAAAAAAAAAGAGATGACTCAAATTACCAAAATCAGAAATGAAAGAAAGGACATTACAACGGAAGCCACAGGAAAAAAAAAAAAAAGGATAAGACAATACTATTTTCTATTGTATGTATGTATGTATGTATTTTCTATTGTATGTAAATAGTATGACAATACTATTTAAAATTGTATGGCAATATATTGGATAACCTAGAAGAAATGGACAAATTCCTAGGAGCTAATTCATTAATAAATAGAAAACCTGAACAAACCAATAATAAGTAAAAACACTGAATTAGTAACCAAGAACTTCCAGCAAAGAAAAGCCCAGAATCAGAGGGCTACACTGGACAATTCACCAAACCCTAAAAGAATACCTAACACTGATCCCCTAGAAAATCTGCCCAAAAACTGAAGAGAAGGGAACACTTCCAAAGTCCTTCTCTGAGGCCAGCATCACCCTGATGTCAAAGCTAGAAAAAGATACAAGACAAGAAAACTATGGATTAACATCTCCAAAAAACACTGATGGAAAAATCATAAACAAAATACTAGCAAACTGAGTATAACAGTACATTGAAAGGATTATACACATAACCAAGTGGGATTTATTCTTGGAACATAGGATGGTTCAACATATGAATATCAATCAACATAATAAAAATAGAACTATCATATGATCCAGCAATCTCACTTCTGGGTACATATCCAAAGGAAATGAAAATAGGATATCAAAGAGATAACATGCACTCCTATGTTCACAGCAGGATTAGTCACAATATCCAAGAGAAACAACCTACTTGTCGGTCAGTGAATGAATGGATAAAGAAGATGTGGTATTTATATATACATATCATTCAATCATAAGAAGGAAATCCTGTCACATGCTACAACATGAACGAACCTTGAGAACACTGTGCTGACTGAAATAACCTCGAGAAAGGTAAGTACTGTATCGTCTCACTTATATGTAGAATCTTAAGGAAAAAAAAGTCAAATGCATAGAAGCAAAAAGTAGAATGGTGGCTACCAGGGACTCAGGGAATGGGGGAAATGGGGCGATGGTGGTCAAAAGGTACAAATTTGTAGTTATGTAGGATGAATAAGTTTAGAGATCCAACGTACAGTAGGCATGATGACTACATTTAATGAGTATATTGAAAGGGCGCCTGGGTGGCTCAGTGGGTTGGGCTTCTGCCTTTGGCTCAGGTCATGATCCCAGGATCCAGGGATGGAGCCCCACATCAGGCTCCCTGCCCAGTGGGGAGCCTGTTTCTCCCTCTCCCTCTGCCACTACCCCTGCTTGTGCTCTCTTGCCCTCTGTCAAATAACTAAAATCTTTCTTTTAAAAATGAGTATAGTGGGTGCCTAGGTGGCTTGGTGGGTTAAAGCTTCTAGGCCTTCGGCTTGGGTCGTGATCCCAGGGTCCTGGGATGGGCCCCCGAATCAGGCTCTCTGCTCAGCGGGGGGCCTGCTTCCTCCTCTCTCTCTGCCTGCCTCTCTGCCTATTTGTGATCTCTGTCTATCAAATAAATAAATAAATAAAATCTGGGGCACCGGGGTGGCTCAGTGGGTTAAAGCCTCTGCCTTCGGCTCAGGTCATGATCCCAGGGTCCTGGGATCGAGCCCCGCATCGGGCTCTCTTCTCAGCAGGGAGCCTGCTTCCCTCTCTCTCTCTCTGCCTGCCTCTCTGTCTACTTGTGATCTCTCTTTGTCAAAATAAATAAATAAAATCTTAAAAAAAATTCTATAGGGTGACTTTGCAAAAATATATCTTTCAATATACATTCGTTTAATTTAAAATATTTTTGACAGAATTTTTATATATTTTTAAAATACATTTTAATCTTTTTTAAAAAGTCTGTATCCTCTGAGTCCATTGTTCCACTTTCAGGAACATATCCCCAAGAAACATTGTGATAGGTGGGCAAAGATAAGTCATCAAAAGTGTTCACTGAAGCAATGTTTATAGCAATGACAAATCACACCCTGAACATCCTGGAGAGAAGCAATGAATACTGGAATACCAGTCATTGAAAATAATGATGTAGGTATTGATACTGGAGAGCATTCCCAATACATTGGTAAGTGAGGAAAACAAATTACAAAGCAGTCTCAGGTGTGGGGGTGTTGCTCATATTTCCCTGGGAGGAAGTGCAGAAGGATACATACCAAAATGTAAAAAGCACTGGATGTTGGAATCTGGGGTAATTTAATTTTTTTCTAGTTTTTCTACAATAAACACATATGGTACTATCTGCACAATTTTAGAATATTGGTTAAAAAAAGAAAACTCAGTGTCTTCCCTATTTACCAGTAGAGTCCTATATGTTCAATTATAACTTAGCTGGGGGGGAAAAAAAAAGCAACCTCCCCAGAACACAGCTACAGTGTGATAAAATTCTCAAATGTGTATTCTGAATAGGCAAAAGAAGTAAAAATACAACCAATCTTCTTCTCAACCTTGTTTTAAAAAGTAGTTTCTATCATCACCAAAAGAACCCCAAACAATCCCATTTAAAAATGAGCAGAGGAGCTGAATAGACATTTTTTACAAATAAGAGATACAGATGGCCAAAAGACACTTGAAAAGATGCTCAACATCACTCATCATCAGGGAAATGCAAGTCAAAACCACAGTGAAAGCTCCCTTCACACCTGTCAGAATGGCTAACATCAAAAAGACAAAAGCAAGTGTTGGAGAGGATGTAGAGGAAAAAGAACACTTGTGCACTCTCTGTAGGAATGTAAACTGATGCAGACAGTGTGGAAAACAGTATGGAGTTTTCTCAGAAAATTAAAAACAGAAATACCATATGATCCAGTGATTCCACTACTGGGTATTTACCTAAAGAAAATGAAAACACTGATTTGAAAAGACATATGCACCCCTATGTTTACTGCAGCATTAGTTACAGCAGCCAAGATATGGAAGTAACATAAGTGTTCCTCCATAGAAAATTAGATAAGGAAGATGTGATACACACACACACACACACGAATATTATGCAGCCATAAAAAAGAATGGGATTTTTTTTTTTTTTGCCATTTGCAACAACATGGATGGACCCAGAGTGTATAACACTAAGTGGAATAAATCAAAGAATACCATTTAATTTCAATTATACATGGAATCTAAAAAACAAAATGAATAAACACCCAAAAAGAATAAACACAGAGGATAAACTCATGGTTGCCAGAGAAGGTGCGGGGCGGGGGGGGGGGGGGCTGTTGAGTAAAAGGGATGAAGGGGAATGGGAGACACAGCCTTCCAGGTTTGGAATGATTAAGTCACAGGAATAAAAGGGAACGGCATAGGGAACAGTCAATGGTACTGTAGTACTGTAATCTGTTTTGTATGGTGACAGACGGTGACTATTTAGGATGAGCCTAGCATCATTTACGGAGCAGCCCAATCACTATGTCGTCCACCTGAAACTAATGTTACACTGTGTGTCAACTATGATCAAATAAAAAAAAATTAAATAAAGATAAAGAAATATCGTAGTTTCTACACAAGAAGCCAGAGCACTGACAGGGTGGGTGTTCTCTGATGACAAGGTAGAGAAGCAGTCCTTTTGGTTTCTGAGGGACAGCTGGAGTTGAGACGATCAGACCCCAATCCAAGCTCTCCCGGTGCAAGCAATTTACTTCTCTTTGTTTCAGTTTGAGGAATTCCCGGAGAAATAAGGGAAACACTGCTGATCCTCATTGTAGATAGAGCAGGTTTGAGTACGAAGCTCTTACAGGTGTTTGGCGATGATCAAGCATTCAAGAGCACAGAATGGACCCCATCAAGGTAACTCGAACGACCATGAAATCAGTGTTTCTGATACAACCTTTTAAAACATGCTTCATGCCCTGCCTCCGAGCCACACACAGAAAAGCAGAGGCAGACCCGACGCTCAGCGAGAAGACGCCCAAACACCAGATCAGAAGTGACTGCAGGGCACAGAGCCACCTGTGCTCAGGTCAAAGCGCTCTGGGCGGTGAGCCGGGAGACCTCGCACGCGGCGGGCCATCATCATCTCCTACTACAAGGGAAGACCGACGGCCTCCACCGCACGAAGGAATCTGTCAACAACATTTTCTCGGGGAGGAAGCAGAGAAAACAGATCTGGACATCAGCACTCGGTACTGTCTGAGCGGATCTTCCCGACAAACGCGCAGTCCCCCGGGAGCACAGCACTGGGTGTCAGAGGCTCCCGCTACCCGACAGCAAAGGAGACCGAGGGCCAGTCGGAGCCGAGACACGAGCCGGGGGCCACCGCGCAGGAGTCTGGAAAGCCGGGAGGGAGGAACGGAGCAGGGGAGCGGCGTGGAGGCGAGGCACGAGGTGGGAAGGGGAGCGAGAGGCGCGCCCGCCCCCGCGCGAACACGGAAGCGCCGCGCAGCCAGCGTCCGCCTCCCGAGGGGTCTGGTCCGCATCTTTACCGTAAAGGAAGCGCAGTCAGCCCCCCGCCCCCATCGGGGCGAATAGAAACGGCGCTTCAGGAGGTTCTGAGGGCGAGCGAGGCCCTCGCAGCGCGGGACCGCGGGACCGTCAGAGTGGCCGCACTCCCGCCTCTTCCGCCCCGGCGTGCCGGGAGCCCCGGAGGGGTGCGCCCACCGCTTCCCCTCACCCCCCGCCCGGCCGCCGTCACCCCGCGGAGGTCCTGCGCTCCCAACGGCTGCTAACCCCAAGGGGCGGCGCGACACCCTACTACACCAGTGCGCTCCCGCCTCTCTCCTGAGGCGACGAGCGCCTCGCACCGCGCACCCGCCCATTTACCTGACCGAGGCCACGCGCTCCAGCCTCGGCCACCTCTGAGTCCCTAAACGCCCGCCGGGGCGCGCGCGCTCAAACGGAGGGGGCCGGAAAAGGCGGGAAAGGTCCCCATTGGCTGAGAGTCTACAAGCCGCCGGCCCCGCCCGCCGGCCTCCTCCCGGCTCTGACAGCACCCCTCCCCGGCCCCCGGCTTCCCTTCAGGCACCTTTCGCCAAAAGGGATGATGGCCCCGCGGCGGTTCTCGGTGTGACTCTGATTCACTGCCATCTTTCTCCAGGCCTCCTCCTGCCGCCCCTCAGATGGGAAGGGGCGGGGCCTGCGCCAGGCCGGGGGGCGGGGCTTTGAAGGGGAGGGCGGAGATTATGGCGCAAGGACGAGGGTGGGGGGTGAGTGGGCAAAGGGGCTGGTCACGTGAGGGGCGGTGGTCCGAGAACCCGGAGGTGTCCAGGTTGGGATGCCGGCTGCGGGGGAGCGGGCGGGGAAGGGAGCGCACCGGGGAACGAACCGGGGGAACTGACCCCGCCTCCGGAGCTCGGAGGGTTGAGAGGCAGGTGAGTGGCCTCCTGGATCCACACCTGTCCTCTTGGTCCCCGCGTCGTAGCCCGGGCATGGCTGCTCTGCTGCCCGCGGGAATGGACTCACAAGCAGGATTTTCCTGCATCTTTCCTGGCCCGGTCAGGAGGCTAATGCCCTGTGGAGAAAGGGTCCAGAAGGATTTCTCGCTTCTCCTAGGGCGAGCATAACTTTTCCCCACCAGAAAAAGCCTGGAATCTGAGCCGGTTTCTTATGAGGCAGCGTCCAGGAAAGGGTGCGTGAGCTGGGTGCGGGGGTGTCTGTGCCGGCCCCAAGATCCAGAGAGCCCGTGTCAACCATCCTACCTGCGCGGCCTCCTTGGACCGGTGACTGGGAGGATCTAGTGGGATACGTTATATTGGAATCGCTTTGAAGACTAAACTGTTGTCCATACTCTTATTTCCTTTAGAATTCGCAAAACAGCACCAAAGGGCTTCAAGCAAAGGGATGTTAACAGCTTCAGGATTACCGTATTTCTCCAAGTTTAAGATGCTGCCAGTTATAGGATGCATCATTTTTATTTTTATTTATTTTTTTCAAAGATTTTATTTATTTATTTGACAGAGAGAAATCACAAGTAGATGGAGAGGCAGGCAGAGAGAGAGAGAGGGAAGCAGAATCTCTGCCGAGCAGAGAACCCAATGCGGGACTCGATCCCAGGACCCTGAGATCATGACCTGAGCCGAAGGCAGCGGCTTAACCCACTGAGCCACCCAGGCGCCCGGATGCTTCATTTTTAAATATACCACTGAGAAAAAACAGTTGCCAAAGAAAGATGTGTCATCGGTTATAAGCTTTTTTTTTTTTTTTTTTTTTTTTTTTTTTTAAGTAATCTCTACACCCAACTTAGGGCTTGAATTCATGACCTGGGGATCAAGAGTCACATGCTCTAGGGACTCAGTCAGCCAGGTGTCCCAAGCTGACTTTTTTTTTTTAAACACAAAACTATTGGAACAAATGCAATACAATAGGAATGGTGTGAAGCTGTAGAACGAGCATCGAGATAATGGAGTACTCCTCTTGCAATGGTAACTAAGTGTGCAACTTTGGGCAAGACAACTATGCTTTCTGGACTTCAGTGTCCATATCTGTATCAAAGAATGGAACTAAAAGAACTGTTTTCTCTTAGTTGTGATTTTTTTTTAAAGATTTTATTTATTTATTTGACAGAGATCACAAGTAGGCAGAGAGGCAGGCAGAGAGAGAGGAAGGGAAGCAGGCTCCCTGCCGAGCAGAGAGCCCGATGCGGGACTCGATCCCAGGACCCTGAGATCATGACCTGAGCCGAAGGCAGCGGCTTAACCCACTGAGCCACCCAGGCGCCCTCTTAGTTGTGATTTTTAAGTTGGCAGAACTACTCGGTCACTCAAATCTTCCCACATCTATCCATCTTGGTGTGGCATTGCCACTCTGCCCCTGGTCCGCATCATTCTACCTGAATGACTCCCCACCACTCTTCTATACCTTGCATTCACCTTACAGAATATTAAGGCCCCAAACACAATTGTTTATGGCCATCACATTCAAATTCAGAAAGACAGAGACAAAGTTGTGTTATTTGTTGGCTACAGAAGAGATTAGGAACCTCAAAGGGAGGAAGTTTAAGTTTGAAAAAGACAAGAGACCAGCTAGTGCTTTAGATGTAAATTCTTAACTCTTTAAGCATTCACTGTACAGTAGGCAGGTCTCCAGGCAAGAAGGGCCCACTCCTTTCATAGAATTGGGTTTTATGCCTTCTGGAGAAAGGAGGGAAAAGCTAGGGGATTAGTTAAATGAAAATAAACCTTGTTTACATTGAAGGAGATGGTCTATACAGAACAGTGTCCCTGAAGGTCTAGCATGATAGCTCTATCACTCCTTCTAAACACAAAACTCCGTGGAATAATGACTGAAGTCCAACCTCAAGCCAACTGAAGACAAACTGATCTCACGAAATGTTTTCCACCTATAATTCCTGTGGCTGCTTCTTACCAAGACGGTCCCTGTCTCACCCCCCCCCCCCCAATCAGTAATGGCTGATTTCGGCCACGGAGTGAGGAGCACAAATGAAACACAGGCCAGACAGTTCTTGTTCAAACAGCAATGTTTAGTTGTACAACACATAAAGTCTAGCAACATTTATACAACCAGTTGGAGTGTCTGTTGGCTTGTTTTCAATTGGGAAATTTAACCATAATGTCACCCAAAGGTTGGCTGGGACTGGTAACATTTAAGAAATGGGTCGTTCTTGCATCCCCTAGGCTTGGGCCTCTTGCTCCATCAGGACTTAGTTGTAGATGAATGGCCCACAAGTCACCAGCCTTTGAGAAAGTAGTGTCCAGGTAGAGATGGCAGGGATGGGCAAGGGGGGGGGGATCCCATAAAGACATAGTATGTGGGGCAGTGGCAGCCAACATTCGCAAACATTCATGCATCTGATGGGGGGCTTTGCCCTCCACTGGGTATTTTCCACTAGCCTACAGTGACCAACTGAGGCCAGGCTAATTCATTACTCACATTAGCAGGGTGAAGGTCAGGGTAGCAGGTAGCAGGAGTAGTCAGGGTAGGTGGGAAGAGATCCCTCTTATTGCTAAGTGGACAGAAGGGTGCTTTTTGTTTTTTCTTCCTAGAGTTCACATCCCACGGGTTTCTGGAGGTTTATGTCTGTGTTTAGTTCTTTTTTAAAGTTTGAGGGTAAGGAAGTCAATTCCGGAAATGTCTCTCCAGGAAAACCACTCTAGGTGGCCGCCTTACAGGGTGGGGCGAGTGTGAAGCTGAACTCTGGGCCAGCTACAAGTGGTGGTTTTTATTTTAAAATGACCCTAGGCCTGACTCCCCCCACATCCATAGTGACCCATCATCAGAAATAAGCTGTAAGCAATGAAGGAGACACCCTTGTCCCACACTGGGGCTCACACGGCTGACATCCACAAATCTGACAAGCAGAAAAGTTGCTTTCTTGACCCTTGAAGGAAGCCAAGAGTAGCTCATGCAGATGAATGGACAGGGAGCAATGCCATTTCCCTTCGGAGATGGTTACAAGTAGCTGGTAGGGGTGTCCAAGGGCAGAAGGAGCTCTTGATGAGTTCTTTCCCCCTACAGATGGGCTGGGACCGGCTGATACAGACGATGGAGGAGGGCTGGGCTGGCGAGAACTCCATTCCACTGGGAGCAGGGAGGGGTTTGGACACGGAGAAAGCAACTGTCCTAAAGAGACAGCTGGCCCCTCCGACCTGCTGAGAGCTGAAGGGGGGCTGTGGTGGTGGTGGGCTGGGCAAGCACAGCTCTAAAAATGGGCATAGCCCAGCAGCAATAAGAGCTGGGAGGAATGGAGGGAGAAGCAGTGCTTGAAATGGCCTTCATTCAGCAGTGGGGCAGGGGGTGGCTGGCACAGGTGGAAGGACAGTGCCCAGGAGGCCTTCTCCCTGCGGGGGGGGGGGGGGTGAGAATGGTTGAGGGTGTGGAGACCAGCAGCTGGCAGCAGACACATAACACAGCTTCTCCGCAGAGGCTGACGTCAAGGTGTAGGGGTGCCAAGCATCATTCTCTACTCAGCCTCTCCAATGCCCGCCACCCCCACTAGACCTCCCCTGCCAGCCTTAGGTGGCCAGTCCCATGTCTGCATACATGACTGCCCACCGTATACCCCAGGGTTCCCTCTCCTGTTGAAATGTAGCAAGCTCTGTGCTTTAACCCTGCTGCTGTCCTATCCTGCTAGGTGCTTACCCTGCAATGACTTTGTGAGTGCGGGACTATGTGTATTGCACTGGTAAAGAGCCTCCAAGAAAGACTGAGACCATAGGTTTTGGGTCTCTGGTTTTGGGGTTCACCCACCTCTTTCCCCTGGCCCACTGAATCTTGATCTGAAGTCTATGTGTTTTCCTAGCACCTGAGTGATACGAGACTAGAAATGCTGGGATTTGTCGCGGACCAGTAAAACACCGAGCGCTGGGCCCGGAGGTGGAAAAGGAGGTTGTATGAGGTCATTGTAAACGGCAGCTAGTTGGGTGTTTTCCCTTACCTAAGGCTAAACTGTTTCCCCAGCCCCAAGTTTCAGCCACCTTACGGACTAAAGGAGGAAGAGGAACTCGTTTGTAAAACCAATGGGGGTAATCTAGGCCTTAATGCAGAGCTGAAGGGAATGGCAAGAAAAGGCCGATGGGATGATTGTGGGTGTCCTTAGGAATGTCTGCAAGAGTCAGGAGGGGGAAAGCGAGGAAAAGCAGAGACAGACAGACAGACAGACATGCACAGTGAGAGAGAACAGAAGCCCAGAGGAGGTCAAGCATGAATGAGAAGCAAGCAGTAGAGAAGCCAACTTTCGGGGGAGGAAGAACCCTGATGGAGAAAAGTGAGGTGTTGTCTCACATTTGCCTCTGAAGCCAAACCACAGAGAAAGGCAAAGATGGTGTACCGCTCTTGAGACGTCTTTAGATCTAATTCTTCTAGAACTCAGTGCCCAAAGGTTGTCTCACTGGACCAGCACATGTGCTTCTCGAACCAGATACTGGGAACTGGGTAACTCATCGTGTTTCCTCCTCTGCCTGGGCCCACAGGGGTCCACCATGCGCTGTGGATACTTTCTTTCCCTCTCGTCTCTGCGGGTCTGATTTCTCTCGTAATCCCGGCCGGCACTGTCACGTGGTTGGCTGTGATTTTATTTTAAGGTGGCCTGAAGGCCTTTTTGGGCATAAATCCTACATATAGGAATGTAGCTAAGATGGGTTAGACTCAAAGCGAGTGGAAGAAGTCACAGAGAGGGGCAGGATGAAGGAATGCGGGAAGGGGGAGAAGCTGGGAGCAGAGGGGAGTGAGGAGAGGCGCGTGTGGAAGGCAACGGACTGCAGCCAGCACGGACGGTGACAGGTGGTGGGTTTCCGACAGTGGAGACAGTGGAGACGACACACACTGAAGGGTGGAGCTCTCTTCCCCACTTCTCTTTTCTGCAGGAGCCCAGCTCCCACCTACTCTGCTCTCCTTCGACCTTCCCACTCCTAGGAAGGCCCAGCCTTACCCTAGATGGCCACCTCCCACCCCCTCCCCCACCAGGTCCAGCTCCAAAGCTGTCCTTAGAGAGTCTCTGCCATCCCCTTTGTGGGCGGTTCAGAGATAAGAAAGAGTTACCTGCGGCTCACTTGTTCCCCATCATTTTTAAGTGAAACCTCCCCCAAAACCTCTTGAGTGAGGCACACAGCTTGGTTCTGGGACACAAGGAAAGGAGACAGATAATGGACAGCCATGGAGGAACCAAACTTACAAGGGACCTTCCAGGGAAGGCAGTGAAAATACCTCATCCCTGCGCAGGTACACACACACACACACATACACACACACACACACACACTCTCTCTCTCTCTCTCTCTCTCTCTCTCTCACACACACACACACACACACACACACACACACACTGTAGACAAACCACAAACACCAGACAGGCCTGCGGGACAGAGTAGAAAGCAAGAAGGTGGTTGGTGGTGATACTGGGATGTGTGTGTGGAAAAGCAGGGATGTGTGATGATACAGAGAAAGGGCCGTCAGGGGTTACTGTCGTGGCTTTCCTCTGTGTCCACGCTCACCGGAGGGAGGCCTCCATTGTCATTGAGCCGCTTGGCCCTGTAGGTCTCGTAGTGGATGTTGTGTGTCACTTCCTTGAGGTCCTGGAGGTGGGTCCTGAAGGACATGGGGTGAGGAGAGAGAGGGGTGTGGTTATGGGTGGGAGGAGGAAGAGATGGACCCACACCTAGGGCCAGTGCATCACTCCCATGGCCTAGGCCCAATGACTGGGACCCAAGCCAGAGAGAGAATAAAAGTACTTCTTTGGCCCCTTCTGCTTCATAATGGGACAAGGAACGGGGCGCAGAGCGCTCTGTCAGAGGAAGTAGACCTGAAGGGATGGCCTCCTGACCAAGAAGTAAAGCCACCCTCTGAGGGAACGGGCGAGTCTCACCTGATGACAAAGTCTCGGAGCAAGGCAAACTCACAGTGGTTGAGGTTTTCCACTGTGAACAAAACAGAACAACAGGTGGTCATTTCACTAATGCAGAAACACCCAGCAGGCTCACTTCTATTCAGGTCACACAGGGCTTCTAAAAACCGGCCAAGGCCTCAGACACAATTCCTATCCTCGAGAAGCTTATGATCTGATTGGAAGAGAGTAACACACGCCAAATGTAACAGCCGAGCCATCTTAGAAAAGGTCACACGCTATATGGTGACTCTAACTCAATACAGATTTGAGTACCTACTATCTGCAAGCCGTCTGCCACGCATTGTGGGAGAAGGGGACTAAGACACGAAGGCTCTAGTCCCACGATCTAATGGACAGGACAGACATCCTCATAAATGATTCTCATTCACGACGGATGAGAAAATGCAATTTAAAAAAAAACTCAACACAAGGTCATCGGCAAATGAGAGACGTGATCCAGTGGGATGAACTTGGTTTGGGAATTAAAATCAACTCAGCTGTGGCCTTGAACTCTGGCTCTAAAATCCCAGTTTCAACTGCTAACAAGTTGTGTGATCTTGAGCAAGACCCTTCCCCTGTCTGAGGCTCGAGACCCTCGGGGGCTAATGTTCTGAGGACAGGCACGCCTCCCCTGCTCCCCACAGAGGGTGGGCATGCTCGAACAAGATCACTGAAGCAATTCTTTGAAACCTTCCAGAATCGTTATTGACCTTCTCAAGGTCACATCCGTTCACAACAAAACGAAAATGAGCACCTCCGAAACACCCTTTAGCAGTCTGTCAGATCACGTCCCCTTTCATGTGAAAACCTTTCTGCGGTTTTCCAGTGCTTTTTAGTCTCTCCATGTCCTCCGCTCCTTTGACGCATGGGTCAGGGCCTCCCAGTCAGGTGTTAAACCAGCCTTTGACCGCTGCCTGCCTCTGACACTCATCTTCTCAGTTAGACTGTAAGCTCCTTACAGCAGGGTCTGGCTGGCATTCGTTTCGTATCCGACGTACCAGGACAGTGCCCTGAACTCTAGAGGCTGAGTAAGTAAGCATAACATGACCACAACGGCCAGTTCTTCAAGAAGATGCACTGAATTACCTTCAATGATTCCCCAGGGAGTTTTTCTGCCGAGGACACGCTTGCCATTCACTTGGTACTCCTTGTCACTTCCCACGACAGCGAACGGCATGCTTTCCTGCTGACAAACCATACACGTGCATGTCAGCCTCCTGCCATCCGGGCTGCCACGGACAGGATGCCCAAGGGTCCTGGGCCTCTGGCCTTGAACTACACACTTCCACTGCCCATTCCATGATCCCACTGATGGGCAAGGGCAAGGTGTGTGGTAAAAGGGACTCTGAAGTTCTGGGTCCAGCCCTGGCCGCATCCCTCCCTGTCTGGCGGGTTAACCTCGGTAGGTCGGCTTTCCTTCAACCAGAGAAAGCTTTGTATTTTTTAGGGAGTTTTAACGCATTTGGTTTGGTTTGGAACAGCTAGGACAGAACGACAGCTCTTTAGGGATACGCACCCAAGGGATAGCCAAGTTACATGTTTTAAGCTACCTCCCATCAAACCTGCAGGCAGAGGTCCGTGTCCGCCGCCCTCCACCTTTGGAGCTCCGTAGGCTCCTCTGTTCCCCCCTAGTGGGTTGTATATATTCCCAAATCCATTTGCCTGATGTGTGTTCCACTTGCTCTTAGAAAAACTATGATTTAAGCCAAGGATGTGTGACCGTGGAGAATGGTTTCTCTGAAAATCGAGCTGAGTGTTTCAGAAAGACTTGAGAAAGTCTCAAAAACATTTAAGATTTGCAGGGCACCTGGGTGGCTCAGTGGGTTAAGCCGCTGCCTTCGGCTCAGGTCATGATCTCAGGGTCCTGGGACCAAGCCCCACATCGGGCTCTCTGCTCAGCAAGGAGCCTGCTTCCTCCTCTCTCTCTGCCTGCCTCTCTGCCTGCTTGTGATCTCTCTCTGTCAAATAAATAAATAAAATCTTTAAAAAAAAAAAACATTTAAGATTTGCATACACCATTTTTTTTAAAGCGATTTCTTCTCTTCAGTGGATTTTCTCAATTAACTGACCCACTACCTCTCTCAGCTACACCAGATAAGGGGCTTCGGATGGATTATCCACCCCTGACAGAAGAGAAGACTCCAGACCAAAGCAAACAAGTGGCTTTTCTCAGGTCATAGTGGTGCATAGAAAAGCCTGGACTGGAACTCAGAATTCTGACGTAAAATCCCAGAACTGTCAAAGTTTGGAATTGAGAGAGGGATTGTAGAAATCCCAAGAAGTCTTAAGATCTGCAGGAGAGGGGCACCTGGGTGGCTCAGTGGGTTAAAGCCTCTGCCTTCAGCTCAGGTCATGATCTCAGGATCCTGGGATCGAGCCCCGCATCGGGCTCTCTGCTCAGCAGAGAGCCTGCTTCCTCCTCTCTCTCTCTCTCTCTGCCTACTTGTGATCTCTGTCTGTCAAGTAAATTAAAAAAAAAAAAGAAAGAAAAGATCCCCAGGAGACGCCCCAGGGATAGCTGAGAAGACAGCACTCTGTGCCCACATCCCTGAGCCAGAGCAGCTCTGTTTTCATGTTTTATATTTCAACAAGAGTTCTGTCTAATGTTTAATTTTTTTTAATTTTTTTTTTATTTTTTAATTTTTTTTTTAACAGAGAGAGAGATCACAAGTAGGCAGAGAGGCAGGCATAGAGAGAGGAGAAAGCAGGCTCCCCGCTGAGCAGAGAGCCCGATGCGGGCCTCGATCCCAGGACCCTGAGATCATGACCTGAGCCGAAGGCAGAGGCTTAACCCACTGAGCCACCCAGGCACCCTAATGTTTAATTTTTTAAAAGAGTTCCTCTAGGGGGAAAAAATGCCTATAAGCCACTCACCTAGCCTGAATTCTGCATCTTATAGAGGGGAAACTGAGGCAGGGCTCTGATTAGAGCATGGACACCTTGGACCCCAGCTTGATGTTCTTTCTGCCCATGCTCTTCCATGAACCAGACCCTGTTTTTCCAGGCCCTGTTGGGGGAGAAGAGGCTTTTGGGGTAGCCCAGGATGGATGCAAACCTTGGCTCTCTGGGTTCAGGGTTCGCAGTCCTGGCCAGGGCCCTACCGCTCATCCTCTTCCATATCACTTCTGGTCTGGGTCAGCAAGGTGGGGCAGATGGTTCAAAAGGGGGAAAGCAGATGGCAAGACAGAAGGGGGACACAATCCACATCCCACTCGTTCCAAGGGGGACATTTGTGCGCCAAACAGAGCCCTGGGCACCCACCCGGATTTTGTCATTCTCTGTCTTGTCCTCCAAATCCTCATCAAATTCCTTCTGGGGGTAGAACTCAATGCCATTCACTTCAAGCTCCTTTCGAACCTAGGGGTAAGGAAGAGAAGGTAACCAAAGGTAGCCAAGTGTCGGGATAACTGGGGGGGGGGGGCGGTGATGCGTGTGCATGTGTGTGTGTGTGTGTATGTGTGTGTGTGTGTGTGTGCACTGAAGTCAGAGGGATGAGTGTAGCTTTTGCTAATCCAGTCATCTCTGAACTCAAGGCCCTGAGCGGCAGGAAGATCATAAATGGCAGCCCCAGTCATCCAGCTGCTACAGCCCAGGCTGAGACGAGGAAGAATCTGGGGGTGCGGCTTGCTCATCTCAGGGTCCAGAAGCTTAGGGTTTAGACAAGCAACACTGCTGAGATTCCCCAAGGGCAGTGCTCATGCTGCCGTATGTCACATTGTTGTTTGCGGGGAAGAGAGTTGAGGCTCAACCCCAAGCCTGTCTGGTCTGTCCTTTCTCGAAGCTTGGCTTCAGTCTCACCTCCTCCAGGAAGCTGTCCAGCAACTTCCCAGTGCTCTACCTGAGTACAAGTTTCTCAAAGGCAGCAAATGTCTGTTTGAAGACCCCACTTCCATCCCTGTGCATCCAGCATGGGGATGAGCTTATAGAAGACACTAATAAAGACTAGCAGACAGGTGATTAATTATTCTAGCCCCTCAAGCACGCTAACTAACATCAAGGAGTGCTTTCCAGTTGCATGGTGATTTATGTATTCAGCAGTCTTCTCCAGAAAGTTTGGAGGGTGGGAAGGAGGCAGCCTGAGGCTACTAATTTCTCTTTGCCATTGGTCCTCAACATGGCTAGCCCAGCCTCTTTAATGGTTCAGTGGGAGCTGAGTGGGAAGGGGTGATATGATGACCAAGGATAGGACACGGCTTGGAGCAGAGGAAAGGAAGGAAGGGTGGGGACAGGAAAAGGAGGGGCCTTCTCACCCTTTGCTTGAATTCAGACTTCTCCTCCAGGGTCATGGTGTCAGCCTTAGCAATGACCGGAATGATGTTCACAACTTTGCTGAGGTGCTTCATGAACTCCAGATCGAGGGGTCGCAAGCTGGGGCCCAGAGAAGGCGGGGTGTCAGAGCCACCTTGCCCTCCCCACTCTGCCATGGCCACCATGCCAGGGCTACCCTTGGGATGGGAGGGACTGGGCAGGGAACCTGGCTGAGGTCAAGGGACTGCTCCTTCTCCTCCATGACACGCTCCCAGACTCTCACTGCCTGCGGAACAGGCTGCAACCGTCTGCCCCCACAGGGCAGAGACCACGGTCTCCCCTTCTCTTCAAATCCCGCCCCTCCCACAGCCCTGCTCAAACAGCTCCTTCAGGACAGCATTCCTGCCGTGGGGATCTTTTTCTCTTGGGAATAGCCCTGGACTGTTGTCTCTGCCTTTATGTCCCCTTAAGTCCTTGTGTCACGGTTACTGATATATCTTATTATCCATATAGGACAGCACTTTTTTTTTTTTAGTAATCTCCATGCCCAACATGGGGCTTGAACTCACAACGCCCCTGATTGAGAGCCGCCTGCCCCATGGACTGAGCCAGCCAGGCACCCAGGACAGCCCCTCTGATGGGCCTTCTCCCAGCCCACCCTTAGTCCTGCAGGGCCCAGCTGGGGGCTTTGGCCCTTGCCATCTGAGGGCCTTGCTCCCCTGGGCTCTGGGGCCCCCATCTGGCTCTAGTTCCCTGTCTGGTGACTTACTAAGTCAGGCTATCTGTTGGCTTGCTCTACCATGAGTCCACATTCTAGGGAGCAATAAAACTAATCTTTTTATTGAGTTCCTAGACCCCACCATTGAACACCTGCTGAGTACCCAGTTCTTCCAAAATCGGGACACCGCCTGGCTCACATCGTCCGCTCAAGAACTGAACCCTGGCCCAGCAGTTAGGCATAGTAGTAAGTTATGGAAGCTCGACTGCTTGCCCACCGGGATCTCTCCATCCCACACTGGAACTCGCTGGCACTTGGCCCATCTGCCACTCACAACTGGACTTCCCTGCACACCTGCTCATCACCAGCCTTCATCTCTAGACATGCTGGGCTGCCCACCCACCAAAGCCTACAGCTGGACCCCACGCCCCTCCAAAACGCCCACCTGATCTAGTGGCCCTGCCCCTCCCCATTTCACTCTTCTTGCTGCCCACCCCTCCCCCCACCCCAGCCTTGTGCAAAGCAGATCTCCTGTATAGACAAGGAGCCCTCTGGGCTCACATGCAGGACCCCCCCTCCAACTGGCACAGTTGTGCTAGAACACCAGTGGGCAGCATGGGGGCTGGGCTCGGTCAGCTTTACTCTCTTGGTAGGAAAGTCACACTCTCCGGGGGAAAGTCCAGGCGATCACAGGGCCTGATGGCAGCAGGGCCCATCTGGGGGTGTTGATTCTCCATGACAGAGCGGGCACAGCTGACACGAACCAGAGTGAGCCACAGCCATGGGGGGAGGGACTGGTACGTACGAGTGTCCCGTGGGGGAGATGAAGTAGAGGCAGCAGTGGACACGAGTGTCGGGGATCCGTTTCTTCCTGGCGATGTTGACCTCTTCCTTCAGGAACTTCTCGTACTGTTCATTGATGTACTTCTCAATGGGCTCCCAGCTGGGGGGGGGGGGAAGAAAGCAGATGGATGTCCCAGAAAGAAAGGCCTGTTGGCCATTCTCCCTCAGGCCCCCATGGATAGCTTTCCTTGTTAAGCAAAGCCAGAACTCCCACGGGGACCTGGTCCTCTGACTGGGCCAGTAGAACTTGCAGAACCCCACCTCACCCCAGAGAGTCGCACACACTCTCCCCACCTCCATTCCTTATTAGCTAGAAGGCTCTGTGGAAGTCTCAGCCCCTCTCTGAGTACCAATGCATGCCTGGAGGGATTAAGGACTACTTAACACAGCAATGGCACATAGAAAGTATTCAACACAGCCACAACACATTATCGTGACCGTGGTCAACGCTATCACTACCTTTCTCCTTTAAGGAGCATGCTATAACCAGAGGACAGGACAACCAGTCGCTTTTCTAAGATTGTTCCAAGTTGTGTTGTTTGGCGATCCTGCCTTGTGTGCGGCAGACCCCAGCATCCTCACAGAGGAACCATGGTCTCTGTCCCTATCTGGGAGCAAATCTCCGCCTGGAACTTTCCATCTACATCCTTGGCGGGATGCTGATGGCCGCTTTGCTCTGTGAATTCCCGGAGGTGTTCTCCTCCTGGAAATTCCCATGTGTCCTCTCATCATGCAGGGTTATGACACTGCCCACAGGCCAAGCTCGGCCACAGACTTCAGGTCAGCCTAGATGTTTGCCACAGGTCCCCTTGGGTCTGCCCTGCCCTGCTGCCACCTCCAGGCAATCCCACAGCCAAAATTCCCTCTGCTTTGGCCCTTTCCTGGGGCTCTTCACAAAGCCCCCGTCTCCCATCCTTTAGCTCGCCTTCCCACTTAGCCCCTCAGCATGGAGGGCGCAGATGGTTCTCAACATGAAGGAATCTGCACCATGTTCAGCATCTTCAGGGCAGAAATCTCACAGGCAGGCAGACATATACCAGTTTTCATTGTTGATCTGGTCTCCGAAGCCCGGGGTGTCGATGACAGTCAGCTTCATTTTGACCCCGCCTTCCTCTATCACTAGAGGGTGAACAGAAAAGGCACCAGAGATGTCAATTGTCGGGCTGATGCTGGCTACGCTGCTGGCTACCATCCAGGGAGACCCAGGCTCCTTCCTTCTTCAGGACCAATTATGGGAAAAGTCAATTTCAGGGTCTTCCCACTTCAGCAGCTCTGTTCATGCTGTTCCCTGCACCTAGCATGTCTTCCCTGCTTCTTGCTGCTTGAATCCCACCCATGCTCCACCATTCAGCTCAAGCCCCATTTCTAATCCCCCCGTCTTTTCTAGACCAAGGAGTTGGTTCTACAGACCTTAGGCCTCCGTTCTCTTCTGTCTTGAGATTGCTTTCCATTTGTCTCATTCCCCAGTAGGCCCATCTCTCCCTCCCTGGCAGAGAGCCTTCTGAACAAGGGCCACAGGGGTCCCCGCCTGGTCCTCACCGTGCCCAATAGCTTTGATCTCCACGGTCTTGGGAATCTTCTCCTCCCGGTTCCAGCTGGAGGCCTTGCGGCTCACCTGGGATTTGAAGAGTGTGTTGACCAGCGTTGACTTGCCCAGTCCGCTCTGACCTGCCGCAAGACAGGAGGAGGATGACACGGTGGGGAAGACCCGTGTCTACCTCCTGAGCCTGCCGTCTCTCCTACGAGCTTACAGAATTCTACAGCCTTGATCCAGGCCATGCCCCCTCTTCACCGCCCATGGGGGGAGCAGAGGACTGGATGGGAGAGCAGGCAGGTGGGAATGCTTCCCTGGTACTGGAGAGGGACTTGGGGAAACATCAGTTGGATTCCACATTCTCTCCTTCCTGGAGCCCCAGGACCGTGGGGAGGGGAAACAACTTCTGCCTTTGTCTAGTGCAGTGATTTCTTGTTTTGTGCCTGCTGGACTTCAGCTTTTAGTCTTTACAAATCCTAAACGGAATGACAGAACTACTTTGTCTTCCTAGGCTGCCTCAGTGCATCTGAGACTTTCACATCTGTTAGCCACATCTGCCTTTGAATCCCACAGCCCTGGGAATCCCCTAGCAGAACTCTCCTTATCCCCAGCTCAAGTGGTCCCAGAGAGATTGACCCCCACCTGACATAAAATGTGTGCAAGGTCACATAACTAAGAAAGGCAAGACCAGGGCCTTGAACCCAAGGAACCCCCTGGTTCCGTGTCCACTCTTCTTTCTAGTGCTGCCTTAGTACCTCATGCCAGAAAAATGCCCAAGAGGGCACTGAGAGAGGAGGGGGCAGCTGACCAGCCAGGGCCGGTCCCTCACCTCCACTTCCTTAGTGAGTGCTCCCTTTGGACCCATCTTTTTCTTTCTTTTTTTTTTTTAATTTTAAATATGCTCCACTCCGAACTTGGAGCTTGAACTTAGGACCCGGAGATCAAGAGTCACATACTCTACTGACTGAGCCACCTGGGCACCCCATTTTGACCTGTTTTACACGAGTCTGCAGAATCTAGAGAAGATTTCCTTCCAAGGAGGAGTTCTGCAACTAAAAGGCGCTTGAAAACCACTGGCCCAAGCCGCACTTCTCAAACTTGTACGTGCACAAGGATCAGATGCTACACTTGATCTTAGCCAAAAGGCCAAGAAGCGATGCACGAGGATCACACAAGCCCTACATCTGCTCGATGGCACCAGCGTCACCTGCACCCTTGCAGGAAATGCAGGATCCCAGGCCCCGCCCCAGCCCTTTCATTCAGAATCTGCCTTTTGACAGGACTCTCCCAGATGAATGACATACACAGTAAAGTCAGAAGTGCTGGTCTAGAACATGCCTGTGGTATATTGGGGGGCTGATGAGACCCAAAAGCTCCAGACCCAACACTGCTGTTTCCCTGAACACCTGGGACTAGCCATGTTCACTTCTGTAGTTTCCTTACTGACAACTGATGGCAAGGGAGGGAACTGGATGAGACCAGGGATAGCAGATAAGCGGCATGTCTCATTCCAACTGATCAATCAACAGTAGCCACCCAGGCCAATATGTTAAAAAAGGCTACCTGTGGGCTCAGTCCTGAATGTGAGCTGGGACTGACCAGCAATGTCTCTCCCGGTGGCACTGCTGGGGAGAGAAGAAGCCTGCACAGCTTCTCCTTGCTATTCCCGGTCTGGATAATTTCTGAGGTTGTTTGCTCAGTAAGTACTCCTGAGTGCTAAGTGCTGTGCTGGATTTGGAGGCAGAGAGGCAAACAAGACAACATATTTACCCTCAAGAAGCTGTTTAGTGTGCGGAAGACCAAAACACAAGCGGGTAGTTATGATATGTTGCCATTATCACCATGAAAAAGGGAACTACAGAGTATTACGGCAGAAAACTGAAGGGAATGTAATCCAGTCTCTCTGGAATAAAGGAGGACTTCTCGGAAGAAGCAACAACTAAGTTGAAACCTTTGGAGAAACTTTGAAAGACCCCTGAGAAGCTGGAATGGGGTTCTAGAAAGAAGGAATGGCAGAGCCAAAGGTTCAGAGGCTGGAAAGAACATCCTGAGTCCAGAACTTACCAATGAGGAGTAGAATGCTACATGGTTAGTGGTAAGAAGTGAATGGAGAGAGAGCACCAGGCCAGGCTAGGAGTTTAAGCCCTTAAATCTACTGAAGGGTTTTAAGTAGGATGGGGGACCTGATGAGTTCTGCAAGTTGGGAAAATTATTTAGTCACTGGTGAACAATGGTTTGAAACAGAAAGAAGACAGAGGACCAGGAGGGTCAATGCCAGAGTGTGGCCCGGGGCCATGGTCCCTGAACCATTTGCTACTCGTTCTTGAGGTAAGAAATTTGCACCGGAAAATATATTGACCATAACACTGAACACACTACTTAGTTCACCTGATTTTTTTTTTCTTGACTTTCTAGATGATTTAAACTCCAGCCACCTCCTTATCTTTGGGCAGCACTGAGTCAGGGAGCTGTGGCAATCTAGGTGGGAGGCCTAGCTTAGCTCAGAGTGGTCACAGCTGAGAAAGAAAGACATGGGCAGACTTCAGAGAGATTTACAAGGGGAAACTGGCAGGTCCTGAAGGCTGATGGAATGAAATAAGGGAGAAAGAAACATGTCCATGTCCCTGTTTCAGCAATTGAGTGAATATCTCACTAATATCAGGCAAAGGTCCCTTCCTGCTCCTACATTCTGTGACCTGGTGACACCACCTAGTGACCAATAGCCTACAAATTCTCTTTAAGGTTTCAAGCACTACAGAAGATCAGAAAGAAGACCACCCTCCATCTGACACCAGTGGGGAACAACACTGATGATTTCCCCGTGCCACACACCTAAAAACTGACTGAGTATGGACCCAGATGGGACCAGGCGGACCATCTACCCACAGTTCCCACCCCTGGATTAGCCAGTCTTCTGGGGAGAACAGAGTCAGGCTTTTGTGATCAACATAGTGAAATCCTTCCTCCTGGAAAGAGCTCATCTTAGGGAAGCCAGGGTTGAGGCCCAGCCTAGGGACGGAGACAGGATCCTCGGTGCTGCCCACCAGCATGGCCTCCAGTGACCCCACAGCCTTGCATACCAACCACCATGATGTTGAAGTCGAAACCAGTCTTCATGGTTTTCTTGCGCATCTGCTCAATGATGGTGTCAATGCCAATGTAGCCGAGCAGGTTGGAGTTGATGCTCATGGGTTTCATGGGCACTGCCGGCTTAGGCCTGGGCTCAGGCACCAGCTCTGACATGGCTGCGTCCGTCCTGGTCTCTGGGAGCCCTGCAAAGCCAAAGGGGGAGAGGTGGGCTGGGGGAAAACAGAAGTCACGTGGAAGCCATAGTATTAGTCTCTTGATACAGAATCATACAGAGTTGGGATTGGAAGGGACCTCAGGTGTCATCCAGCATGGGTCCCTCACTTCACAGATGGAGGGACTGAGGCCTGGGGAGCAGGGGAGAAGGACTTCCCCAAGACATAGAGCAAGTCAAATGCCAGATTGGGATCAGTGCCCAGCCTCTCCAGCTGCTGGGGCACTTTCTGATGTACTCGCTGCCCCAAAGCGCATCTATGCATCTAATCCAGGGACTTCACCTTGGCCCTGTTGACATTTGGGTCTGGATAATTACTGGGGGGGGGGGGGTCCTGTGCACTGTAGGATGTTCAGTGCCCCGCCCCGGCCTCTATTAGATGCCAGTTGTGACAATAAAAAGTATTTGTACACAGTGCCAAATGTCCCCTGGGGACAGTATAACCCTAGAGGAGAACCACCGATCTAAGATATGTCTGGGGTTATTATGACCTGAGTTCTGCCTCCTCAAATAAAGGGCTAAGACCTTTTAGGATACTGGACCTAACCTCTATTGACAGTCACTGACCTTCTATAAGACAAAGCAACTAGTTGCTTTGTCTTATAGAAGCAAACAGGGCTCCCCCCTCACACCACAGGAGCATCACTCTTGCCTCCGGCCTCAGTGTCCCCTCTGTTCCATAAGCACCACTGCAAAGTCGGGGTGTCTATGCCTTGAGGAGCCCCAGACACCATCCTAGCCATAGTTTTAAATCTGTGGGAAGAATAAGTCTCTCCTTTTGACCAGTGGGGAGGGGATGAGACACAGCCAGCCTGCGGCAGCCACTTGCCTAAGATGACATAGTGTGTTCTTGGGATGGTGGGTGGCAAAAGAAAGGGGAGGCTAAGGACAGAGCATTCCCTAGAAGGGAAAGGCCAACGTCCCTCTGGGTCTGGTAGGTCACAGGCATGTTCGCGCACAAGGGAAATCGGTGCATTTCCTCATGGGGCCAATGTCCCCCAGGGCAGGTTTCAGTATAGAACACCTCCATTTTCCCATCCATAAAATGGGTATATGTGGTGAAATGGACCGAGCCTGGCCCTGCTACTTGCCGGATGTGTGGACTTGGGCAAATCACCACTCCCTGCCCCGCCCCTGAGCCTGTTTCCTCATCTATAAGCTAGGATCATGATTAAGGCTGCGGTGAGCATCACATGAGCTACGATGCTCAGAAGCAGTGGCATAACCCCCCACACTTCCAGACCCTCTTGCCCCCTGTGTCCCTTTCAAGTTCACCAGCTTGTCCGAAGGGCAAATGAGGTGGGGCGTGGGCAAGCGATGCTAGTTACAAGCATAGTTATTGGACTCCACGCTCTCTCCAGGACCCCTTCCAACGCTGCCATTCTGGAATCCTGGGGTTCCTGCAGAGTCTCAGGCTCCCGGGAGAGCTGATGGAGCAGCAGATGGGCAAGAGGGGGAGAGGACAGGAGGGCCTCCCTCCCCCACCCCCAGACTCAGCCAGGAGTCTGTTCTTGTACCCCCACCACCTGGTCCGGCCACCAGTCCTGGCAAGACTCTCTCTCTCCCAATGGGAAGCCGTTCTTTCCTTGTCACTCCCAGGCACAGCCAAATCTGACAAAGCCTCGGGACCTCCCCAGGGCCTGGCGTGGCTCCCTCCTGCTTCCCAGGAAGCTGTTGCCAGCCAGACGGCTCCAGGCGGCCACAAGATCGGCTCAGCCCTGCGGCAGCTGACTCTCACAGCCTGGCCTGCTCCTCCACTCTCTGCACATGGCTCCCGGGCCCCACTCAGCACACCTGCACCGGGGGCCGTGCCCCGTTTTCCTTGCCCAGCTGCCGCCACGGCTGGCCCAGGCCACTTCCCGCCATGCCTCTACAGCCAAGCCCACTTGTTCTCACAAGCCATGTTGTGAGACAAATCCATCGGAGGGCAGGGGGGTGTCCCATACTATTTTACAGACTTGGAAAGTGAGTCTTGTATTTATTTTCGGGAGATTTTGTTAGTATCCTTGTAAAGGAGGTGCCCTCCCTATGGCTGGCTCAGCTCGAGCCCGTCAATGGCAGAATCCTAAAAGAGCTTTCCCAAAAGACGGACGCTGGTTGCGAGAAGGGGGCTGCCCACCAGATTCCCAGGCAACTTCTAGAACCAGCAAGCACCTCCTCGCACCCGTGCACACACCGTGTTACGTGCCTGCTGGCAAGTCACACCTCTCCCAACCCTAGGCCAATTACATGCCAGCCACATGCTACCCGCAACCACCCGTCAGCCACACGCACGGCAAACGTGTGGCGGGTCACCACGTCACAACCTCTGCTCTGGGCCACTCCAGCCCCTGGCTGACACCTACTCCTTCTTCACCATTGGGCTCAAGGCCTACCTCTAGAAAAGCCTCTGCTTTCCTACCTGATACGCGTGGCCCTCTTCTGTGCTTCCTTGGCCCCCCAGTACCCTGTACCCATCAGGTTCATTCCTTCACTCCGTCCCTTCCAGGACATTTTTCTTTTAAGATTTTTATTTATTTGACAGAGAGAGACACAGAGAGAGAGGGAACACAAGCATGGGGAGTGGGAGAGGGAGAAGCAGGCTTCCCACTAAGCAGGGAGCCTGATGTGGGACTCGATCCCAGGACCCCGGAATCATGACCTGAGCCAAAGGCAGACGCTTTAACAACGGAGCCACCAGGCACCCCGCTTCCAGGACATTTCATTGCTGTCTAATGGAAGCCTAATCCAGCCAACCCTAGACTTCATGCCGAAGATACTTTTGGACCCCAGACAAGGTCCTCGCCCCCAAGGGTCCACTGTGTGGTGAGGGTGCCTGACAAGCACACCATTCCCAGGGCACAGGACGATGCTGCTCTGGAGAGGAATTCCGTAGCTCCATCCCTAGCCCAGAAAGCAGCCCTGGTCCTACCATGCCAACCCCAGATGGGCATCTGGCCCAGGCTTAACTCCCAGCTGGATGACCTCTGTGAACCTCAGTTTTCTCCTCAGGAAAATGGGCACATTACCTACGTTGCCAGGTTGTTGTGAAAGTTATACAAAAGCATGGATACAAATTACCTGGCATTAAACACAGGCCCATCATTCTTCAGGGAAGGGTCGTGTCTCATTGATCTCTGTGCCCCATTGAACCTAACATAACACAGGCACTCAGCAATGGATTGATGGATGGATGGATGGACAGACGCCTGGCAGGGAGGCAGATGTCAATGGATGGATGGTTGGATGGACGGATGGACAGATGCCTCGCAGGGAGCCAGATGTCACTTTAGAACCATCACTTTTCTTCTCCCTCACAGGCTTCTCCCTTTGCAGACCAGCTGACCCCCTCCGCCAACAAGCAAATGGCTCCTCGGTAGGCCACAGTCAAGGGAGCAGACTCTGTTAAGAGCAACCCTCTCTCTCCCTGCTACAGGGATTGGACAGGGGCTCCCTAAGGGTGGGATGAGCTAAGGATGAAGGTCACAGCAGGATATAGCTCAAGTGCCACCCTGCCTAGATGGTCCTTTGGGGTCCTCCTAAGCTCCCAGCTCTCCCAGGCTTTCTGGAGAGGTGGGGGTTCTGTCAGCAGCACCCCCTGCCAGGTGCCACCTGCCCCATCAATGCTCTAGGGAGATGCACTGTCCACCTGACTCAGCTCTGGCTGAGGCCCCCACAGAAACAGCTCCCCCCTCCCCGTGCCAAGCAAGGACTCCACCGCTTTCTTTTACACGGGCAAATAAATGGCTTTGTCTTTGTCTGGCCCAGGGACCCCACCCCTCTGTTGGGAAGGTGGCAGCAGGGGGAGGGGATCTTTCCGGAATAGCACCTGCCTCCTTGGCTCAGCGAGGGGTGGGGTGGGAGAGGTCTCTTCCTCCCTTCCAGGGCTGGAGATCTTCCCCTGCTCCCAGCCCTAGCAGCCTCTAAGACCCCACCCCCACCGGCAGAGGCAATTCCAGACCAATTCCAGACCACCGCAGCTCCAGCCCCGCTCTTAGAAAACGAATCACCTAAGACATCTCGATCCTTTCCCATTCACAGTTGCAAAGGGCCCTGGGACACCCCCTTCCCCCATCCCAGTTCTCTGGAGGCCAATGAGTTCCCTTGGAGACCACCAGCTGGTGCCTGTCTCAGTGTGCGCCTGTGTGTGGGGGAAGGGGCCTATGTGTCAGCGCACAGGTCTCTTATCTGGCGGTCCCTGGCCCCGATACCTGTGCGTGGTGTGCATGTGTATGCGTGTGCTCTAGCGTGGGGTCTTCTGTGCGCATCTGGGTCCCTGCTTGTACGTCCGTGGGCCTCTCGAACTCCCCGCGATCCCGTGTGTGCGTTTCTCCGGGCATGTAAACCCTGGGGTGTGTGCGTGTGTCCGTGCATATGTCACCGCGCGTGGGCTCCTCCGCGCAGCAACCCTCCCTCTGGCAGCACCTCCAGCCGGGGTTTTCGGAGCCGCAGCCTCCTCCCAGCGGGCGCCGGTGGCCCGGCCAGCCGCCCTACCTTTGGACATGAATCCTCCTTTGTCTCCGTTCCTCCGGGGAGATGCTCAGGGCGCGGGGCTGCAAGGCTGAGCGGGGCGCGGGCTCCCCCTGGGCAGAGCAGCCCCTGCAGCCGGGCCTCGCCCCTCCGCGCTCTCCGCCCACCCGCCCGGCCCGCGGCCCGGCCGCGCCGCCCCTGCGCCCCGCGCCGCCGTGCCCGCCGGGGACCTGGCTTCGGCTCGCTTGGCGCCGCTGCCCGTGCCCGCGCGTACCGATGCCGCCGCCGCCGCCGCCGCTGCCACCCGCACCACGTGACCCGCGCGCCTGCCGGCCCCGCCGAGAGCCCCTCCCCCTCCCACAGCGCCCGCGTCCGCACCGGCTCTCCGCCCGCACGCGGGAGCGGGTACCGGGTCCCGCCTGCAGGCGGCCCGGGAGGCGCGCGGGGGCGCTGTGTCTGCCGCTCCGGAAGCCGCGCCGGGGGAGGTGCCCGAATCCCAGTCTCGATCCCTGCCCGCCCCCCCATCCCGCTCCCCGCCTCTTACCCTGCAAGCTGGGGCGGGGCGGGGGGCGCGGGGGATCGGAGACAGCGGCGAGCTGCGGTGCGCGCGCGGGTCACGCGCGGGTGGGGATGTTGCGCGGGCTCAGCGCGTTTCTGCCCAGGCGCCGGCGCCTGCGGAGCCCTGAGTCAGGGGCCCGGGTTCCAGGCCTGGCTTCTGGATGATGAGCCCTATGACCTTGAGGTGGTCAGGAACTTTCCCGAGCCTCAATTTACCCATCAGAAAAAAATGTTCATGCATTCAGTCAACATTAATAGCTCATTGCCAGGCCCTGGGGCACAGGAATGAGGATGACTCTTCTAGGCCTAGTAGGGGAGACAGCTGGGGGCTGGGGTACACAGAGAGTACTGGGTGCTGTGAGGCGGTCATCCAGAGGAGAGGGATTTTGGAAGAGTTCATGGGGAAGCTGAGGGCCAAGACAGAAAGGCAAATGGTGGTGGGAGGGAAGAGGGGAAGGGCACTCTGTGGTTAGGGGCAGCAGAGGTGAGCAGACCCAGAGGGGAAAGCTGCATGGTGCTGGTGGACAACTCACAGCTCCTGGGGCAGCAGCAGCAGAGAAAATTCCAGATGGAAATACAGAGCTGGAGGCTGGGAAAGATCAAAGTCTTGGAAGCTGGGCGAAGGAGCTGGACTTTGAGGGAAGCCGGTGGTGAGTCACCAGTGACTGTTAGCATAAAGAGCCACCATCACATCCCTGAGTCCCTGGGACAGCTGCATGGGGAACAGAGAACCCCCCCACCCTGGAGTGTGGGGTGCGGTGGGGGGAGGGAGGGTGGGACTGTGGCATGGCAGGGGCAGAGTGTCGAAGAGTAGGGGACAGCCAGCCAAGTGCCAATGAGATAGATCATCAGAGATGTAAACAGACTGGTTGGAAAGAGAGTGAAAGATGAGGAAAAGGAAGAAACCCAGGTTTCTCCGAGACAGAATGAACTTCTAGCCCTTATGTTGACCTATTTACAGTCCTATCTGTACTGTATGCAGGACTTCTATGTATACAAGTCTCCAACTTACCTTTCAGGATGAAAGGGCTGGGGGTAGGGAAACAAGGAAGAACAGGTCAGGTGGGGCACCTTTCCAGCAACAGATATCTTCCTGAAAGGCTGAATGTGCATCGTTTAGAAGGTCTCAGGTGAGGTCACTGTGCCTATCTAGAGAGCACTGTAGGGACGGCTGTTGGACAAATCACGGCTTCTTGACGTAGGAGTCTGTATTTCCATACAGGTGGTTCGCTTTGAAAGCTGGACTCACCTGTAGATCACCTGATTACTCCACCACGGAAGACGCTAAAGGAAGGACTCAGAGCAATTGCTCCTGCACAAGTCACCCCTGGAAACTTCCCTTCTGGTGACTTCCCTCAACCTCACCTCTGACCGGCAGGGGGGACCCAGCTTAGGGTGCATCCCCTGTGTTCCACCCCTTGGTCTCGATGTCTTTTCCCTCAACACGTTCACCTCTGACCTTACAGTCCTACCTCCTTTTCTCCACCTATTTATCTCCAAGCCAACACACTCTGACCCCCCACAACACCCCAGTACATCCCCAGCCAAGCCCTTTGCATTTACCTTTGGTTTCTCTGGCTTGGTCCAGTGTGCCAGGCTCTGCGGGCCAGTCTCTGGCAGCATCTGCAGTAGCATGGACCCACGATGGGGCTGTGTTTCTGCTTGGCCTCAGCGGGTAGGTGGCTGATATGGTCAGGTTAATGACTCTGTCCAGTGTGATCTCCCCCATGGCGGTGCCCAGCTTGCTTGTGTCCAAAGCCAAAGAATCTGGAGCTCTGTCCGGCTGGGCTGTATTTGCTCTAGCCAGAGCCGTGGCTGCATGTGTCCTGGCTGTGCCCAGCTTGACTGGGTCTGGTACCACCAAATCCACGGCTGTGCCCTCTGTGGTTGGATCTGGCTTGGCTGGACCTGCTATAGCTATGGCTTTGCCCAGCTCGTCTGGCTCTGGGGTCACCAAATCCGTGACTGTGCTTGGCTCGGATGGGCCTGCTGTAGCAAAGTCCACGGCTGCATCCAGCTTGGTGCCCAGAGCAGCCAACTCCATGCCTGGATCCCGTCCGGATGTGTTTGGTGTGGCCGGATGGACAGTCAAGTTAGGTCTGTTGGTGACCGTTGTGCTTAAACGTCTGCCTGTGCCTAGCCTGGTTGCGTCCAGAGTAGCCAAATCCATGGTCGTCGCAGGACCCATGGTAGAGGTGGCCCTTTGGAGATGCAGCCGGGGTCTCGGGATACCCCTGGCCCGGGGCTTGCCTCTTCCTGGAGATGCTCTGGTAATCGCATGGGCAGTCCCTGGGACAGGATGCTTCTGACCTACCAAGCCTGGCCCTGCGGGACATGGTGATTTCTGGGCTAACCGGGATTGAAACGGTAGGGCCAGGTAGGAACTCACCAGAGGCTTCTCCACTATGGGCATCCTGCTGGGTTTGGCCAGACCTGGGTTCCCTGGGCCCTCACAGTGGACTCTGCCCCCAGGCACTTGGGTCAGAGATCGTGAGCCTGGGCTGAGCAGCCTCCCTCCTCCATGGATGGCAGCCTCCTTGCCCGGGGTGGGCAGCTCTTCCCAGTGAGAAGGTAGGGGACTCAGGGGCCATGCCTGGCTGTTCTGCCGGAGCGTTAAGGAGATGGAGCTGAGCTTCCGGGGCACGGTCTCCTGTGGGGGCACAGTCCGGGCCCTGGCTCCAGGGCCTGGTCGGCCGGAAGCCTGTGGGATATGGCTTTGAGGAAAGGCATCCAGACGGATGGTTTTCCTGAGGACAGGGACGAGGGGAGACACCCCTCCAGAGAGCTTTGAGGGGCGGGCAGAGCGCCCCAGCAGGTGGCTGTGGGAGAGAGGGGTTGTGGGGTTGAGGGAGCCATGCTGTTGCATCTCAAAATCGTGGTCCATCCAGGTCTTCCGTCTTCCCCTGAGGCAATCAACAGAGAGAAGACGCCAAGCAGGGGGTGAAGGGCTCCGCTTGCATTTCTTTGATTCCTAGTTAATAAAGAGTATGAAAACTTCTTACTAAGTAGCAAATTAATTTGCAGTTGTCAGTGTTTGCCAAGGTCTTATAAAACAAGACAGTATTTTAAAATGCAAAATACTTAAATCCTATGAAATGTTACAGAGTAATTGTTGGGTAAAGCCTGATTTATCATTTTCATATTATGCAGTCAGTAAGGTACGAAATAGTTTTAAAAACTATTCACCATATAACTAGTGGAAATATAACAATGGAAGAAATTGCTAAATATATATGTAAAGCGGGGTGGCTCAGTGGGTTAAAGCCTCTGCCTTCGGCTCAGGTCATGATCCCAGGGTCCTGGGATCGAGTCCTGCATCGGGATCTCTGCTCAGCAGGGAGCCTGCTTCCCTCTCTCTCTCTCTGCCTGCATCTCTGCCTACTTGTGATCTCTGACTGTCAAATAAATAAAATCTTTAAAAAATAAATAAATATACATATATATAAAGCTTAATCTCTAAATAGAATTTGTTAACAATGAGACAACAGAAATGTTTTACAAGAAATATATTGACAAAAAAATTTTAATATATCGGGATATAAAATTGTGGCATCCTCAATGGTTTGAGTTTTATACTACTTATCCAAAACACAAATGCCTAGAGGTCATGGGCGCCTGGCTCAGTACAGTCAGTAGAGCACACAACTCTTGATGTTGGGATTTTACGTTTGAACCCCATATGAGGCAAGAAGCCTACTTAAAAACAAAAAACAAGAAGCAAACAAACGAACAAAAAAACACTGCCAGGTCTGAAGGGGCCTTGTTCTGGGACCCCTGCTGGAGGGCAGTAGTTATCGGAAGCCCGTCTGCCTCTGTCTTTTCCAGGAGGGGCCGTAGGGCTCTGGGTTCCCACCCACAGCACCCACAGGAGTTCAGGCATCCAGGTGGGAGACCGAGGGATAACCTGTTTGGCTTGGGAACAGCGTCTGCCTCCGGGGCTTCTGCCCAGGACCAGGAAAGAGCCCTGGGCTGGCCTGCTGCTGGAGCCAGAATCAGCCGGAGCTGAAGAGGGCCACGGTGAGGGGGGACTCGGAGAGCCAAGTGACAAGGGCTCACAGTGAACTAGCCACAGTCCCTGCCCCTGGGGAGCCTGCCATCCCCAGTAGCGCCAGGCAGTGAAGCCGGCCCAGCTAAGCCCGACGTGGGCATTGGCCTCAGAGGAAGGAGGCTGGCCTGGAGGCTGGGGCGGCTCCCACAGAAGCCCCAAAGGGGAGGGGTGTGTTATCTGCCTGAAAATCAACTGTGGGACTCCTAGGCTGTTGGGGAGGGGGCGGGGGGGGGGGCAGGGCGGCCTAAGGCCACAGGTGCAGTGATCAGGCCCAGGCCAGGCCACAGTGATGCTCGACCCAGGAAAATGACCCAGTCAGATCAGCCGGTGGGAAGAGTCACTCCTGTGCCGGGTGACAGAGGGATGAGAAGGGAACAGAGGTGGAGGCCAGGGGAATGGCAGGGACACCCACGGTTGAAACTCCACGGCTGGCGTGGAGCTGGAGAAGGCTGCCCAGCACAGCGGTAGAAACAACAGAGCAGCAGGAGGTGGGGAGAAGAGGGGTTGAGGATGCTGGCTCTTA